TCACCACTGGACCAATAAATGGAGAAAAGACTGAAGTTGTCAAACACTTCCTTTAGTTTGGATCCTCAGTCAACATTCATGGAAGCAGCAGTCATGAAATTATGTGACATATTGCATTAGGCAAATCTGCTGCAAAAGACCTCCTAAAGGTATCAAAGAGCAAATATGTCACTTTGAGACTAAGTTTTGCATGGTCCAAGACATGGTCTTTTCAATCACTTCATATGCATGTGAAAGTTGGACAAAGAAGAAGGAAGACCAGAGAAGAATTGGTGCATTTGAATTGTATATTGGAGAAGGATGTTGAAGGCACCATGAACTTCCAGAAGAACAAACAAATCTGTCTTCGATGAAGTACAGCCAGAATGTTCCTTAGAAGTGAGAATGGCTTGACTTCATCTCTTGTACTTCGGACATGTTATCAAGAGGAACCAATCCCTGGAAAAGGACATCAAGCTTGTCAAAGTAGAGGGTCAATGAAAAAGAGAAAGGCCGTCAACAAGATGGACCAACACAGTGACTACACGATTGGGCTCAGATACGGCCAAAACTGTGAGGATGGTACAAGGTCAGGCAGTGTTTCGTTCTGTGGTGCATAGGATTACTAGGAGTTGGAACCTCCTTGATAGCACCTAACAATAACTGAAGGTATTTGAAAACTTTGTACTATCCTTGCAATTCCTCTGCTAGTCTATATTATTTCAAAACAAAGTTGTTGTTGTTTCAATGGGCAAAAGGTTTAGACAAACACTTTAAGAAAGTAGATGTATGGATGTCAAATAATGGGTGGTTTGTTGTGTGTCGCCAAATCGGTTCTGACTCATAGTGACCCTGTATAGGGTTCCTGAGGCTGTAAGCCTTTACGGGAGCAGAAAACCTCATCTTTCTCTTGAGGAGTGACAGGTAGATTCGAACTGCTGAACTTTCGGTTATCAGCCCAGTTCATAATCTACTGTGTTACCATGAAAAAAGACTCAACATCTTCATCATTAGGGAGAAGCAAGTTTCAACACCAATGAGATATGCCTGCATACTCATTCGATGGCTAACGTGTAAAAGACTGACATTACCAAGTGTCGGCACGAATGTGGAGTCAGTGGAGCTCCCTTACACGGATGGTGGGAATTGAAAACTGTACAATCACTTTGGAGAACAATTTGGAGATGTCTTAAACTGTGAAACATATCCTTGCTATACAACCCAGACAATCTTAGCTAGTTAACCAAAAGAAATGAAAGCATATGTCCAGATAAAAATGTGTTAACAAATGTTCATAACAGACTTTTTTTGTAATAGTAATAAATGGAAAGAATCCAAATTTACATCAGTGGGTTAATGGGTAAACAAAGTGTGGACTAACCATACAATGAAATAGTATTTCAGTGTAGACTCTTGATGTGGTGCTGAAGACTCTTGATATGGTGCTGCAAATCACAAGGTTGGCAGTTCAAACCCACTGGCTGGCTGTCCCTTGGAATCCCTATACAGGGTCAGTGTGAGTCAGCTGGACGGCATTTCTAACAACAAAGGAAATAAAAAAGAACAAATTATTGATATATGCAACAATATAGATGAATTACAAAATCATTACCCTAAGCAGTCATACAAAAAAGAGTACTTTTTTTTGTATTTTTAATATTTTCTCATTTATACAAAATCCTAGAAATCTACAATGAACGTAGTGATAGAAAGAAAGCAGAACACTAGTTGCAGGGGCACAGGGGCTTAGAAAGGTGGGGTGGGAGGAGGTAGGGATGCAAAGAGTTACAGACAGACTTTTTGGGCCGATGGATGCGTTCGTTATCTTCCTTATGGTGACGGTTTCATGGGTGTGCATTAAAACGAATCAAATTTCACACTTCAATGTGTGGTTGTGGTGGTGGCATGCTGTTGAGTCAGTTCCAACTCATAGAGATCCTGTATAGGGTTTTTGAAGCTGTAAATCTTTATAGGAGCAGAAAGCCTCATCTTTCTCCCTAGGGGTGGCTGGTAGATTCAAACTGCTGACCTTGTGGTTAGCAACCCAACTTACAACCTACTATACACTACCAGGGTTCCAAATATAATGTTTTTGTTGTAAAGTACCATCAAGTTGGTTCCAACTCATACCTACTATACACTACCAGGGTTCCAAATATAATGTTTTTGTTGTAAAGTACCATCAAGTTGGTTCCAACTCATAACGACCCTGTCTAGGGTTTCCAAGAAGCAGCTGGTGGTTTTGAACTTGTGGTCAGCAGTCCAGTGCTTATCCTACAGCACCACACTTTGTTGTTGTTGTGATGTGCCATGGAGTTGGTTCCGATTCATAGTGACCCTGTACAGGGTTCCTGAGGGTGTAAATCTTTACAAGAGCAGAAAGCGTCATCTTTCTCCTGCGGAACAGCTGGTAGTTTTGAACTGCTGACCTTGCGGTTCGCAGCCCGATTCATAACCACTACGCTACCAGAGCTCCTTACTAGGACTCCATAAATATAATGTGTTGTATATCAGTTGTTGTTGTTAAGTGTCGTCGAGTTGGTTTCTATTCAAAGTGACCCTGCATAGGGTTTCCGAGGAGCCGCTGGTGAGCTTGAACCGCTAACCTTACGGTTCAAACTGACCTGGCATTCCTGTGCAATTACAACTCAATAAAGTTATTTTAAAAGTGTATACTTGGGGGGGTGGGGAAGTGTATACTTGGGATCCAGAAACCTAGAGGGCTAGTGTGATTATTTTTTTGTTGTTAATTACTGTCGAGTTGGTTCTGACTCATAGTGACATTGTATAGGGTTTCTGAGGAGCAGCTGGTGGGCTTGAACCACCAACCTTGTGGTTTGTAGTCTAGCGCTTATCCTATCCACACCAGGAGCCCAGCTTACATGTCCTCAAAATCCAATTGTCATCCTGTTAATTCTGACTCCTAAGTGATGCCATATATGTTAGAGTAGAATTGTGCTCTGAGTGTTTTTTTTTTTTTAGTGGGTGCTTTTCTGGAAGTAGATGACCAGGACTTTGCTTCTGAAATGTGTCTGGGTGGACCCTAACTGCTAAACTTCAGATTAGCAGCCAAACATGTTCATTCACCATTTGTACCATGTATCATCATGGATGGAGTCCTGGTGGGGCGCTGTGGGTTAATGTGCTAGACTGCAAAGTCGGTTTGAACTGCAAGGTTGGCAGTTCAAACTCACCATATGCTCCTGGGAAACCCTATACAACAGGGTCACTATGGGTCGGAACCAACTCCATGGCACTTAACAACAATCCTCATAGATGAGCCCCGGTGTGGCCGTGTAGGATAAGCACTGGATTGGAAATTGAAAGATTGTTGTTGTTGTTGTTAGGTGCCATCAAGTCGGTACCAACCCATAACAACCAGAACGCAACACAGCGGAACGCAACACTGCCCAGTCTTGGGCAACCTCACTACTGTTGCCACTCCACCAGCTACTCTGAGTAATCCTATACAGGGTCGCTGAGTCAGAACTGACTCCAGGACAGAGTAACAAAAACATCCTCATAGATAAGTCGGTGATGCTATGGGTTAGGCGTTGGACTGTTATTGCAAGGTCATCGGTTCAAACTCACGGGCCACTCAGTGGGAACAAGATGAGGCTGTCTGCTCTGGTAAAGATGTACAGTGATGGAAACACTATTTAGGGTAGCTCTGAGTACTCTAAAATTCATCCTCTATAAAAATTCTGGTGTTAGTCTCAACCCTAGATCTAACCCTTAGTCACATACCCTCCCTTGGGACAAAACTTTCATCTCTTCATCAGTTTCTCACTTACTGCTGGAATCTTCCTATTGATCCCTCCTCCCCCATTGCCCTCAGACCCCATAATCCGGCCCATGACATAATGCTAGCACCGCAAACCCTAGGTCTGAGCAAAAGGCCTCACTGGCTACGGGTTGTTAGTCGACTCACAGCGACCCCTGGTACCTGCAAATGCCCACTCCTCTCACTTCTCTATTGAACGCGTGAACTTTAATAGAAAACTGTTCAAGTATATTTTTTTAAATACACGTAAAAGTCATCAAATTGAGTTTCAACAAACAGATCAAAAACATCAAAAGTGGAATTTCATAGAAAACGTGTAACTTTCTTCAGCCTCTCAGGTAAGGCTGTCACTTCGCTTGGGCTGCGGATACCCTGACCTACGCCATCCGATCAGGATTGGGGCCCGGGGTCGCAGGTGGCAGAGTCGTGGACAAAGTGTCCACAGGGGATACTGCCCACAATTTAGTCCTGGCCTGTCCAGATAGCACAGGCTGAGCCCAAGCCAGCGCTCCCAGACCTTGGGTCTGCGATCAGGACCGAGGGGATGGATGGGCAGGGACTCAGGAACGAGGGCGCCAGCGGAGCTGACTTCGAGCTGGGTGGGGGCCCCACCCACGGCGGCCTGGGCTGGCCCAGCGCTGACCTTTCCCCGGAGCCCGGCTCCCGCCGCTGAGCCAATCCATCCCATGCTTAGCGGGCCGAAAGGAGTAAACAGGCCATTCCCAGGCGGACCCCGATTCCCCAGGGGAGGCCCGACTCCTCTGCCAGCGTGACCACCGCCCACAACCCAGGGATCCCGCGGCGCAGCAGACCGCCACAGGGAGGTGCCCCTAGAGGCGCTTCCCTCCGGGAAGCTGCCCTCCGGGATCCGAGGGAGGCGGTGGAGAACCAGAAGGGGAGGGGACAAGGAGGAGGGACGAGGGCCGGGCGGAGGGGGAGGGTGTGCAAGGGCAGGTCGGGGCAGCCCCCCTAGGCCCCGCCCCAGACCCCGCCCCAGACCCCACCCCCGCCTGGAACCTCCGCGATGATAGACAGACCTGTGGTCCACTCACGAAGCGGGCCTTGCAGTCCGGCGGGGCTTAGGGGGGCGGAGCCGGGCGGAGCCGCTTCTCAGCAAGGGGGCGGGGACTCTGGGAAAGTAGCAGCGCTCCCAGCCAATGGGAGGCGGCGGTTGCCCCGTTAGCGCCGGATCCCAGCAGGGAGGGCGGGGCGGACGGCGCCGTGGGGATCCCGGGGTGGCGGAGGTCCCCTGATCCGACTCATCTCGGCAACATGGACCGAATGACCAGCTCTATGAAGCAGGTGCCCAACCCACTGCCTAAGGTGCTGAGCCGGCGTGGGGTCGGCGCAGGACTGGAGGCGGCAGAGCGGGAGAGCTTTGAGCGGACCCAGGTGAGGACCAGTGGACCCCCGGGGCATGGCCGGGACACCCCAAGAGACACAGTGCCAGGGAAGGGGCTCTGGAAGTAGGAGGGATCATTTAGACCCCGGATAGGACAGGTCCTGGGGGCTGTGAGGGGCCGGCATCGGTTACACAGATTAGGGATCCCAGGAGGTCGGGGTCCCGGGGACATCCCCGCCGTCCTGGGAGAGAGGACGGAGAGGACCAGGGCGGACTCCTGCGGCGCGGCCGAGGGGGGCCGGACAGGGCGGGGACCGGGCAGACTCACTAGAGGAGGGGGAGAGCTGAAGGGTGGGTGTCTTCTGGCAGGGGAACCGCTTTGGGGGGCACTTGGCAACTTCATGTGGGGGCGGAGAGTGGATGTCCTGGGCTGAAGAGGTGAAGGGTGGGGAGTCCTCTGCACCCCACTTGACCCGCCGCTTCTCCAGGCCACTGACACCCCCCCAAACCCAATCTCTGAGTACCCCTTTACTCCGCACCTTTTTACTTGAGTCTCACAGCCCCTGGTTGAGGGCCTTTTAAGTGCCAGGCGGATGGGGTCTGAGCGGTGAAAGGAATGTCGGAAATGCCAAGTGTGGCGTGCGGGCGGGGCGGGGGGCGGGGGGAGACTTGGGGCTGGAGGAGGCAGGAATTGGGGCGCCTGGCAGGACAGCCCACTGCTGATGGAGAAGAGCTGCCGGGATGTTCAGAGCCCTAACTTGACGTTTTGGTTTCATTGCTCTTAAGATGTGTGTGACAGCTAATAGCCTGCTGCATTTGTCCAGCCTGTCCAGGGCTGGGAGCCAGAATGTCTGTGTCATCAACAGAAAGCCACAATCCAGTTTGCCTCCGTTTTATTCCTTAAACTATTGATTCTGAAGACAGCTGACATGTATATGCGGTTCATTAGTTCGTTTGTGTGTAAAATCCATTTTCAATGGGTCCACCACTTCTAATCCCAATGCCAAGGTTGTTATTAGCAGGTTTGTACTTCACTCCTGCCCTCAAATTGAACCTTTCAAGATCCTATTGGGCCCTCACTCTCAGAGGGTACAGTGTTAGAGAAAGACTTTGTGATTTTAGATAGAAAAGAGAATAGATGTGGGTTCTTAGGAAGAATCAAGTTTTCCATCCCAGGAGACTTCATGCTTTAATCATTCCCGACATCACAGAGTGTCTGGAAGAGGAAGACCAAGATGGCTGTTCACTTCTGCCTCCCAGGGTCCACCTGGTTTGAGGCTTGTCCTCTGGCTTTATGAAAACAAGGAAGTTTTCTGTCTGTCTGACCAGACAGTATCTTGGGTGTTAACTGCTTCAACTCAATCACAATGAAGCTTTTGGACCTAGGATAGTGAATTCTCTCTCTCTCTTTCCACTTAAAATAAAAGTGAATATAATTAGGTGTCATTTTATAATAACTCAACCCCTTCTAGAGTTTCAGATACGTTAAAACTGGAGCAACTGAGAAATAGCTAAGACTTTGACCCACTATGTTGTTGTTGTTATGTGCCGTGGAGTCGGTTCCGACTCATAGCGACCCTGTACAGGGTTTCTGAGGCTGTAAATCTTTACGGGAACAGAAAGCCTCATCTTTCTCCCGCAGAACAGCTGGTAGTTTCAGACTGCTGACCTTGCGGTTTGCAGCCTGATTCGTAACCACTACGCTACCAGAGCTGATGTATATTGTTGTTGTATGCCATCAAGTCGGTTTCCAACTCATAGTGACCCTGTAGAGGGTTTCTAAGGAGTGACTGGTGGGTTTGAACTGCTGGCCAAGTGTTTAGTAGTCGAGTGCTTATCCTACAACACCACACCAGGATCGCATAGTAATGTATATTGTTTAGGTTAGGTGCCGTCGAGTCACTTTTGACCATTATGCATGATAGAACAAAACGGTGCCTAGTCCTGTGCCATCCTGACATTTATTATTCTGCCTGAGCCCTTTGTTGCTGCCACTGTGCCAATCTACCTCATTGGGGAATCTTCTTCGTTTTCACTGACCCTCCCCTTTACCAAGCATCCTTTCCCAGGGATGATGTTTGGTTTGTGGAAAAGTGTCCACCAGGGCTGGCCCTGGTGTTCACTAACTATCCAGCAACAGCCCAACAAGGAGACTCTAGGTCAGTGCTTTGCAGTGATTTTATTTTCTTGGAGCACTTGTAAGTGCCCACATTCGATCTAGTGGCATGCATGTGTGTGTGAGGTGGAGAAAGAAGAGAGAGATGGGGAGGTGGTTTGGAGGAAGAAAAGTGGGTTTTTCTATTGTTGAAACTTATTAGGGTAGCATAAAGTGAAGAGACAAAAGAGAGCTGTCTTAAAACCCAGCATTAACTCATCTGCAAACATTGATTTTGTTTGATGGCTGTCTTTTCAAGAGTTTTATGAGATTAAAAAAAATGAAGGGACATTTTTGTACAAACAAGTTAGACACCATGAGAATCAGATAAGTTATAATAATTATAAGTAAATACCATGTCTGGAATAGTTCTAAGTATTGAATGTTGCAAAGTGCCCTCGAGTTGGTTCCAACTCTTATAGGGTTTCTGAGGAGTGGCTGGTTAAGTTTGAACCACCAACCTTGTGGTCAAGTGCTTCTCCTTCAGTGCCACACCAAGACTAAATAATATTACTTTATTTAATCATGACAGGATCCTACATTTTGAAGAAGCAATTGGGACTCAGAGAGGTTAAGTAACTTGCCTGAGGTCACACAGCTGGAAGGGGATTTCCCTTCTATAATCACTGTTGTTGGAGCTGGGAGACAGGATTCCTGTTTACACCTAGCGAGCTTAGAGGCTGTGTGGCCTCAGGCAAGTTGTCTAACCTTTCTAGACCTCAGCTTCCTTCTTGTAAAATAAAGATAATATTCACAGTTTACTATGGGGATTAAAGAACATGTGTGAAGCATTTTGTCTACCCTGGAGCGTTATTCAAATGTAGCATATTATGTATACAGTCTGACTGGGAGCATTTGACTTAAAGAAAGCCAAGTAACAGTAAGGGCTCTAATTAACTTCATCAAGGGGACAGAGTGTTACTAGGTAATGAGCTAATTACTGAGAGCAGTAATTGAGAAAGTGGGTAAAGTGCAGGCAGTAGAAATGGGAAGAGGTTGGGAACCCTCACCCTAGATTGAGCTGTGCTCCTTAGCATGAGTTAGCCCTGGGCTTGGTGGAGAGGAGGGGATGGGGACATTCCAATAAGGGGGAACCATCTAGAGCAGCCCCAGTATGGCACTGTAGGATAGGCACTCAGTTTGAACTACAAGGTTGGCAGTTCACATCTACCAGTCGCTCCTCAGAAACCCTAAACAGAGTCGCGATGAGTCAAAAGAGACTCCACAGTACTTAACAACAGCAACATCTAGAGACAGAAAAACATTCTGGGTGTGTGTCAACAAGCCCACTGGCTGAGGAAGAGAGGCATCCAAACCTCACTGCCATCGAGTTGATTCCAAGTCATAGTAACCCTATCTGGAGTTTCTGAGACTACATCTTTACAAAAGCAGACAGCTTCTTCTTTCTCCCGTGGAGTGGTGGGTTTTGAACCACCAACTTTACAGCCCAATACCATATCCCACAGCACTACCGGGGGGCAACATGAGCTGCTTCCTCCTCTGAACTCAACTGGTGGCTATGGGCCATGAAGTCGGAACTGACTCATAGCAACCCTGTACAGGGTTTCCAAGGCTGTAAATCTTTATGGGAGCAGAAAGCCTCATCTTTTTCCTGCAGAACAGCTGGTAGTTTCAAACTGCTGACCTTGCAGTTCGCAGCCCGATTCTAACCACTACATTACCAGAGTTCCTTAACTCAACTAGCACACCTTAAAAACCTGTCCAAGTGCTGGTTACTCCCCGTAACCTGTGAGATTCTTCAGGGTGGAGCTGTGCCTCTCTCTGGCCTGGATCCTCAGGTACCTGAGGCATGTGATGGGGAGCTGGTTGTAGGGAGGGCGGAAGCGTGGTAATAACCCCACCAATAGGAGCTCTGATGACCCAACTCTGCTCTGGGTCAAAGAAGGCATTTGGAATGGTTTGACTTCTTTCCTCGTAGCTCAGCCTGGACCCACCACCACATGCTCGGCCAGGAGCACTGCTCCCCACTGCCCATCCAGAAATGGATTTCTTTTTCCTTTCCTCCCTCACATCCACCTTGTTTCCTCACTTCCGCCATCTTCTTCCAGGGGTATTTCTCTTCCCAGTGGTCTTCCCACAGTCACAAAGCTTCATAAACCAGTGTCCCAACTGAGATAAGGACCCTTGATTCACCGGATGGCCCAGCCACTGCCACAGCCCCCAGACCCAACCATTACCTCATGTACCCATCCCACCATAAGCAGTTGCTGCAGGAAAGTGAAAAGTAGTTATTGCTCTCAAAAATGGCGGGCCCTTGCTATAATAACTGTGCCTTATCCAGCGTACTTTTTAGTTTATGGATAGGTTGATAGACAGGAACCCTGGTGGCACAGTGATTAAAGTGCTTAGCTGCTGACTGACCTATCCTGCAGTTCAAACCCACCAGCTGCTCAGTGGTAGAGAGATATAGTAATCTGCTTCTGTAAAGATTTATAGCCTGGAAACTGTGGGGGGCCTGGTGTGGATAAGCACCGGACTCCCAACTACAAGGTCAATGGTTTACACTCACCAGCTGCTTCTTGGAAACCTTCCGCAGGGTCCCTCATGGCACTTAACCACCACAGCAACATGGTGGTATAGCGGGTTACACGTTGGGCAACTAACCACAAGGTCGGCACTTTGAATCCACCATCCTCTCCATGGGAGTAAGATGAGATTTTCTGCTCCTGTAAAGATTTACAGCCTCAGAAGTCCTATACAGGGGCCCGGTGAGTCAGAACCGACTTGACACCACACAGCAACAACAGTGTTGCTATGAGTTGGAATCGACTCTACAGCAACAGATGACTTTTTTTAAAAGTATTTATTGTGAACTGAGTGATAGTTTACATGGGAGAACATCGGTTTTACACTCATAGTTTCCTTGCAATGATT